TTTTTTATTTATAAATTTGGAACACCGAAATTTAGAAAGAGAAGTGCAAAAACAGTCTTCGACACATAGGGCGTGTTCTTCCCTCTTACGGGGGGGGCCCCCCCCTTTCAACTCCACCCTGGCGTGGCTCTTTGTCAACGGCTAGAAAACACCATAAATACCAGTGTTTTCAGCTCCTCCAGTCTTCAAGAGTGGCCTCAAACCACGTAATTTACAGTGTTTTTTGTGGCTGTCCGGCAAAAAACCTCATAAAAACCGATGGTTTTTGAGGTGTCTAGGCTTCAAACATGGTCGAAAAATGGCAAAACACCAGGAACAATTGTGTCGGACAGTTTTTTCTGCTTTTGGAGGCTTCAAAATGGCAAAAAACAATGGTATTTACACGGTTTTGTGCGCCTTCCCGGCACAAAAACCCTGTAAATCGATGGTTTTAAACTATGTAGGCTTCAAAGTTGCCACAAAATCGGCTGATCCAAGCACAGAAGTTCGTCTCTTCCATACAATCTCGACTCTTTTTCACGGTGCACGATTTAAGGTTTGCAGTGTGGCATTTTGCCTCCTGGACTTCTACCAGGGTTACTTGTGATTGCCCGCTACCTTTCGTTCACCCCCTCCTCTCTCAAGTGTTTGTATGTGTGTTGTATGTGTGTGATGTTTTGTTATGTTATCTCATGTTTTGTTAGTGGCAATGTATGTATGTAGGTAGGTAGGTCGGTCGCTCAGTCGGTAGGTAGGTATCTATATATGTATGTTCGTATACTTATCTACATGTATCTATATATCCACACATTCACAGGACACGCAGTGGCAGCCATGCATGTGTTTGTGGGCTTGCTTGCTGGAAGAGCTGCTGAAGACCCTTGTGCGTCAATTGGCAAAGTTGGCGTACAGGAACACGATTCAGCTATTTTTTTTTGCGGACATCCTGACTTCTGCGAGGACTGATTTTAAGCCTGCTGGGCCAAGAAGTTTTGGTTGTTTATTTGTGCAGGTGATGAGTCTATCGAGCTGTTTCAAGGCAACTGGATCCAATCTCTGAATCTCAATTGTTTTATAGTTTTTTCAAGGCCATGTCATTGACATTGGCAATTGCGAGGCAATTGCTACAAAAAACACAACTCTTTGCAGGTCGAAGAGTGTTGGTTGGCGACAGCAGCAGCCATAACCCCTGTCAGCTAGGTGAGGTTGGCCTCCCTAGGATTGTTTTTTGGCACATGAGTAATGGGTGAAAAGAGGGAATAACGGCTAGGTTGGTCCAGCAGTGATGAGGTGGAGGAGACACCACGGCTTGGAGAGTATTCAGGCAACCAGAATCTGAACGTGACGTGGTGCAATCACCAGGCCAACATGGACTTGAATAAGTTTGAATACGCATAACTGCACAAGCCGCACACAGGCCCGATCAACATGCAAAAAACCTGAAACGAGGTACTGGAGAGTGTAAGGACCTGATACAGAGATTTCAACACGAACGGTTTCTGGTATCGAACTTGGAGAACAGTCCCGAGCCCCGTGCTCAAATGCAACTGCAGACCGCTTTTTTTGAGCGGAGTGCATGCACACCCTGGACTGTGTCAAAAGAACTCGAGCACATTCATCTCCACGCAGGTTTGACGCTCCCAAGCGAAATGTTAAAGACATGCAGGTGATCGTTTTCGGTCCGAGCGAGAACAAACAGAATACTTTGGCCTTCAAGTTTTTCACCTTCAGATTCTGGCTCAGCTGCAAACGGGGCTTGTGCATTGTGGCCTGGGAATTGTGCGCACGAATTGCTTGTGGGTGAGGCTCCACGAGAACAAATGTTTTGCTCTTTATGGTCGGCTCAGAGCTTGAAGCGCAGCAGAGGTGCACAGCCTGTGCACAGCTACAATGTGCACTTTGAAGGGTTTTGTCACTGCAGCTGCCTGATGTGGTAGTCTCCTCTAAACAGGCCATCCAAGTGGCAAAGGAATTCGTGCAGGCTTTGCAAGGGGCAGAGCATTCTGTTGCTGGTGTTTTCTACAATGGATTCAGAGGCTTGGCTGTGCTGGACAGTGATAACTGGAGCGATCATTTTGCACTCAACTGTAACTTTCTTCAGGCTTTTGAGGTTGTTTCTCTGATTTTTTTCGTAAACAAAGTCGAACACTAGGGTTCTGTGCTGTTTGGACCGGCTGACTAGATTGATTCGGCCGAACAAAAGAGGGGGGCACAAGTAGGCCAAACGGAGCATCCTTACTGTCCAACACAGCGGTATCTGGCACCAGCGCGCCGAGGGTAGTGCGCAATTTGATTGCACGCCCATCCTTTTGCTCCTGAGGGTGGAAGCCCTCAGCACTGCAAAAGTGCTAGGCTAGCGGCTAGACCTTGCTTCTCCGTGCCTGTAGCAGGCTCGAAAAAGCCTGTGCCCAGGCTCACACATGGGGAAAACCTCCGGTTTCTAAGGAGCGGAAACAAAACAGCAAGGGAAGGTGTAGAGTTGATCCGCTGAGGTGGGGGTGCAGAGGCCCGAAGATTGCAGGACGACTTTGGTCACGGGAGTTGGCCAAAGATGAGGAACAGCTGAGTTGGCCGTTGGAGTTTAGGAAGGGCTGGGATCTTTCCTCCAAACAGTTGGCCGTTCTCTCTCGAACAGAAAAGTCTGGTAGCTGGGCTGCAGTCCTTTGCCAAACAAAGAGACACCGTGTGATTGGCGATAGTGTAGGTTCGTCCATTTGCAACGACTCGCTCCTGACACTGTTGAGTAGTGTTGGCCTGTAAGGGTTCAACCTCGGGTGCCACCAAAAAGGTGCCCTTTTGAGCCTTCGTTTGAACAGCTTGGACACGGAACTTGGCTTTCGGGCCTTAGGGACATGGTGTTTTCATGCATGACAGCTTCGGCGTCCATTGTTTCAGCAGCCTGGCTGATCCCTGACGACATCGGGAGTTTCATGGATCTGAGTGGGTTCAAGAACGGCCCATGTTTCAATTGAAGCTGTTTGGGGTGTATGCAGGTGCAGTTTGGCGGCTAAGCAGATGGTTCGGCAGAGCTGTAGTTGGTGCCTTTGATCGGTCACCGGGTTTTGACCCTCCGCAGCTGCAGCTCCTTGAAGCTGGCAGGAGGCATTTCTGCTCCCGTGCGAGAAGCTCCAAGAAGTGTCTTGGCTGCAGCCAAGAAGCAGCCAGGAGCCAATAGGTTTGGCTCGCAAATTTTACCCCAAAGGACCATGGATAATACTGTAAGTGGAGTGGTTGCCTGGAGTCTTCCAGGTGATACACAGGCTGCAAGTCGTGGAATTGTTCAAAGGCTATCTATCATCAACCTTAGGTCTGAGCTGAGCAGCTGTCGGATATCTGACTACTTCAAATGGTAGCCATGAGGAGGGTTGGACGATGCCAAAAAGTATTGTCGGAGATTGTTTGTGCAGAAATACAGCAGGTGCACCAAAGCCGCGAGTAGAAGAGACGCCCAAGCCAACACCTGCTGCAGAGGCAAATCAGGTGGGGACGGCAAATCATTTACAGAAGCACTTTTCAGGATGTGCCATATGCAGTCTTGTCAGGGGCCTGCTGACATGGAAGTGGACGGCGATACACCTGCCAAACGCGTGGCAACTGGCACGGGTCTCATGATTTTTGTAGTTATATGCACATAGAATGTAAACAGTCAACCCAAGAAGCATTCAACCAGTAATGCAGGAGTACATTTTGTTTTTAATACGTAGAAGCTACTTAAGACCTACTTCTTGTTTGTTCTGCTTGGCTTGGCCTCACAGAACCGCTTTGGGACATATGGCTGCCTAGTGATGCAGCCGTCCCATAAACCCTTCTAGTTTTGAGTTCTCCACAGCAGCCAAAGAAACAAGGAGCGCCAAGACAATTATAATACATATGTATATCAACAACAGAACATGTACAGCAAGAGACGAGGCGATTCAAGCATATGAAGAAAAAACAAACAAGAGCTTGACAAGGAACACACAAGGAACACAATACAAGCTTTCTGTTTTTGCTTTGCCTTTGTTCATCTTTTTTGCCTTGCCTTTGCCTTTGTTTCATATATATATATATATACATATATTATATATATATGAAGGGCTCAAGGTTTGGGCTCAAAGGAAGGAAGCCACCATCCCGCCGGGCACTACGCGTGGACAAGAAGAAAGTGCCTGCGGAGAAGAAGGGTGGCATGCGCCGACATTACCAAGTTTGCACAGGATGCAAAACCTCATGGATCTGGGCTGACAGGTTGTTGCAGAAGCCAGGCCTGGTTTGCAATCAGTGCGGGAAGAAATGGCATCAACATCAAGTCCCTGATCTACGACCTCGACGAGTAGAATGGGCCAGCTGGAACTTCCCAAAGAAGGGACAGCAATGGCCAAAGAAGACATACCGGGAGGCACTGATCTCACCACCTCCAGGACTTCAGGGAGGCAGACCAAACAGACAGCCAAAAATAGAAGGCATTGAGAAGAAGCTACAGGAGCATTGGACCAACATTCCGGACATCCTGAAGAAGCAGTTGGAGGAGATGGGAATCAAGGCAGCAGAACCGGCGGCCCCGCCAGATCTACCGACCTTGATCAAGGACCATTTGGAGAGCCTACCGACAGTCCTCAAAGAGGAAGTTGAAAAGATCATCCAGCCCACGAAGATGGAACCGCCCCTCAACCAGAAGCTCAAGCAAGCGGTTGGGACACTCAAGCAGCTTTCGGAGAAGAAGGCAGCAATCCAGACTAAGGCGGATGCCATCAAGCAGCAGTATACACAGCTTCTCAACGAGCTCAAGGAGACGCAGAGCAAGATCGAAGCGGCGTAAAAGGAGTTACAAGAGACCACAAATCTCTACAACCAACAGCTTGAGCAGGAGAAGCAGGTAGCAGAAGAACCCCTTCCAGAAGAGCTGGCAGCAGAAAACCTGCTGACCGTGATGGCCAACATCGGCCTTTCTGCTACACCGGATCAGGTCAAAGAGCTGGCACAAAAGCTGAGCGAGAATGTCACGAAGAGGTTACTCAGCAGCCCAACCTTGAAAGAGAACAGAGAACATGTGTCACTCACCTAGGGGAAACAGGTGCTTTGAACACATGTCCACTGGGGTATTTTGGCTCAGAACACACGGGAGGGGATGCCCGTGTGAATGCAGCCACATGGGGAGCTCCAGCAAATGATACTATGGTGGAGCAACAAAGGGAGGTAAACTTCCCAGGATTTTGTGGAGGAGTTCAAACCATGGACTCCATGAACCTTGAAGAGGACATCAACATGACGGATGGTGAACTTCATCAACCGACGACTTCTCCAACCAGCACTTGCAGCTCTCTCGACTATGTGGTCCAGAACTTGCAGTGTCGACTGGGGAACTATAGGAACAGGTGTTTTGCCAACGGGCCTTTCAGATTGTGGGCATGGGCAGGGAGCTTCATGCAGGGAGAAGAACTTTGGCAAGGCACCACTTCTGCAGTCACAACAGCGCTAAGAGACGATGGAGTGGTCAACATCACTACATTGGAGACCTTGGCACCTTTGTGGGAAACTTTCAACGAAGCAGTACAAGATGATGCAGCACACTTCTTGCAGCAGTTGGTTCACTTGGCCAACTCCAAAAAGGTGATCGCACAATATCATCATGTGGATCACAGACAGGAAGTGCACCTCAGAGCAGCCTTCCCGACCCATCTCATCTACCCGGAAGATGGAGGAGACGAAATTGAAACCTTGATATCCACATGGGCAAACACAGCGGAAGGACAAGTTCTTTCAGGCAGAGGACTATGGGTGGCTCAAATTGGGCGCTACACCCATCGACAAGGAGAATGGCCCAAGCGCCACAAGACTCTGCAGGTGCCAACCGTCTTTCAACTGCCGGTTTGCTTGGATGGCGTGACAACAACGACTGAGCAGTATTCCTTGGTTGGTTTCCTATGCCATTCTGGTGATGCACACCACAGTGGACACTTCTACGCCATCTTCGTCTACCGAGGCCTTTATTGGTTGGTGGATGATGGATCATACCCACGAGCTCTTCCTGTCCTACAGGAGAACATCAAGCAACAGATAGTGCAAGTGTGGGCAATTCCGTCAGCCTATTTGCTGCCGGAACAAATCCCTTGTGACTTCCCCACACAGACACAAGGAAGCCACCAAGCAGAACCTGAGCAAAAAAGGAGGAAGCAAGATCACATTGACTTCACCTTTGCCAATGTGACGAGCCTGGGGCAAGCAGTACGGCAATGGATTGGAGGCAGAACGAGAAGCCCCTTGTTCATTGCGGAGACTCACCGACCATCGCAAAACTATGCAATGGCTATGTGGCCGTGGCTTTGGAGTTCTTGGAGCACCAACAGCACAGAGCCCTAAGGAGGCACACATGTGGGCCTCATGATTGTCTACCCGGCACACCTGCATTTCCACCAGATCCATCAACAAATGATTGATGGTTGTGGGTGGGTGGCAACGGCACACGCTTGCAGTACCAGCAAAAGCCCTTGAGTGACCCGAGCAAACCATGGATCTGGAAGAAAGGCAGTCTTTCATTCTGGAACCAGATGGAGCTCCGCTTGCAACAGGTGACTCAGAAGAAGACAATTCATCCAGCTGATTTGGCCCAACTGCAAAAATTGGGATGGCACATCAACCAGCACTGGCATGACGATGGACCGATTGAGCAAGAAGGCTTTCAGGTTCTTTTCCAGATGCTTTGGGGTCAATTTGAACCAGAACATGGACAAGCTCTTCTGATGTACGCCAAACAACAGCGAGAGCTCCATTTTCAGAGCAGCACCACAGCGGACACTGAGACCTACAGAGAATGGCTAGCCAATGCCACCCTCAAGGGCCACAGAGGCCTGTTTCGGAGCCTCAAACAAGAAGAGCAGCCCTTCTTGAGGCCTTTCCAACAATTGCCCAGGGAGGAGCGCATGGAACAAAGAATGCAACAATGGACAGCCATATGGGGACAGAGACAGGAGCAACACGAAGTCACTTCGCTGCCTGCCATGATCGAGAAAGGCAAAGAGCATGCAGCCAAGATGAAACCCATCGAAGAAAAGGACTTGTGGAGAACAATCAAGCTCCTCTCCAACAAAGCTCCTGGCTTGGATGGCGTTGGTTTCGATTTCCTCAAGGCCCTCCCCAACACCGCCATGAAGGAGCTCGCAGCATTCTTTCATCAAGTTGAAGCTACAGGTGAAGTCCCACACCAATGGCTGGTTTCCTTGGTGGCCATGCTTCCCAAATCCAAGGAGATTGAACGACCCGTTGCATTGGTGGCGACGCTATATCGACTTTGGTGTCGGGTCCGAAACCAGTACACGAAAGAGTGGCAAAGTCAGCTCGAGGATGAATACCCATGGGAGAGAGCGGTCCCAGGGACTGAGTGTTTGCAAGTAGCGCTCAAAAGAGCGTTCCTCACCGAACACCACCAGCCCTCAAAAAGACGGTAGTGTCTGTCCTTTTGGACCTGTCCAACTTCTACGACCGGATCAACCTCCAGAAACTGGCTGAGAGATGGTTAAGCTCCAATTACCCTGGCACCCACTTTGCCATGCAGATCTATTGCGGCGCCAGGATCCTTGAGGCAGAGGGTGAAGCGTCCGCTCCCATGTGGACGACAAATGGCATCCTGGCGGGAGATCCTCAGGCACCTTTGGCCGCCAAGATCTACCTGCAGAAAGCTCTCAAGGCATTCTGCAAAAAAATACCCGTTCCTGCACGTCGACCTATGGATCGACGACTTGAGCTTCGATGTCATAGAACGGGATCCACAGAATGCGGTCCGGATTGCCATACAGGCCTACACCTACATCAAGCAGCTCTTGGAGGAGGACGAACTCAAGATCTCCGAGAAGAAGACGGGGTTCGTTGCCTCGAACATCGAGGCAAAAAGGCTGCTGCAGCAACAGCTCCTGACATCCTGTACGATATGCAGCCACGGCACAAGGACCCAGCCTATGAGGCCTTCGTGGAGCAGATCAAGGTCTACCATCGGTTCTATGGCAACTGGCCGGAACACCTCCAAAGAGACATGGAGAAAGCTTGGAAAGTCACAAAAGAGAGGCTCCAGCAGGCAAAACATCCGTGGCAAGTCGCCCGCGGACCAGTAGCAGCCCTGATCTGTTACCTCCATGACCATGGGTGGACTACAGACACCTACAACCTCTGGACGAAGCCTGGCCAAAATGGGGAGGATGAGTACAACCTCAACATGAAGTCCAGCTGGTACTATCTGGTGGAGGAATTCCGACGCGCTCAACGACGTGAACGCACACAGAACATCCAGAAGAGGCATGACCTACAAGAAGTACAGAACCACCTGGACTGGCTTCCATGGCGACGATTGGACAAGCAATCCAACACCAAGGTCCGCACAGCGTTGCAAACTTGGCATCAAGGGGCAATTTTCACCAAGATGGCGGAAGGGCAAGAAGGCAAACACCTCCAATGCCCACATTGCGGCTGTGCAGCTGATGCAATTCATTTGCTCTGGCAATGCAAGGAGACAAACCGACAGTTCCCACCGCTACCTGGTGAAGTGGCCACAGAGTTGGAGCAAGGAATCAACAGGGAGTTCTGGGCACAAGGCTTAGTTCAAAGGCCACTATCCACAGGTGGTGCTGCCATCCAGGCTTGGGGCTCCTGGACGGGTTTGGATGAGATCACCCTCCAACCTCATGATGCCATCACGATAGGGATCTCAACCGCAAGCAGAGACAGCCGGCTAAAGTACTACGTGGTTACGCTTCTACACCACACCCTCTTTGCCGGAGAACTGTACCGCAGGGGAGCCATCAGCACAGTGCTACCAGACAAACAGACGGTTGCCCGCACCTGGTACTACGGCCTCCGCATGATAGCTCATTATGTGGATTTGCAGTTCATGGCGAGGGTGCACGTACTTTCAGTCAAAGCATGGCAAGGCTGGGTCAAAGGACGACACCATGAGACCTTCTACGACCTAGCCGAGTTGGTGACATGGGATCAGAGGCAGCGCATCAGGGCATTGAGCGTGACCCAGCAGCAGATCAACACTATGCCAAGCACAGGCCTGTCGTTACAAGGATGCAAATCGGGCAGCAAAAGAGTTTGCGCTATCGAAGCAACCAGTGGCCATTGAACAAGAGCTGCAAGAGCAGGATCAGAGGTACGGCCAATATGCGCCAATGGCAGCTGCTCGCATCCGCTTTCTCCTGGAGACCCAAGATCATTTCCTGCATGGTCAGAAGGCAACAGGCAAAGAGCAACGACAGAAAGCCCGTGAAGAGAAGAAACATCTTTATCTTGAGATTGGAGTCACAGGGCATGAAGGTGGACATCAATGGACCTCGAAGGGCCGAGGACTACAGTGTCGGAATTGCAAGAAGCAAATCCATCAAAGGATGCCTATTGCTGTGTTGAAAACAGCCAAAGATGAGGCATGTGAAGTGGCCAGTGGCATTCCCCTCACTGGCGGAGAGGCACCTATGGAGCCGAAACGGGACTACATCACCAGAATTTTTGCGGAGCACCCGGTTGATGGTCACCTGTTCACGCTCCAGGCCAACTACATCGTGTGCCAAAAGTGCAGTGCCAGGGTTCTCAAGAACTCAGCCAGAGAGAAAATCCAACAACTCCATGAAGGACCATGTTGGTACGGGCCGTGGCAACCACATCCACGGTGGACTGGCAGCCCCACGCACACCATGTGGAGGAAAGGCAATAAAGTCTATTGCCAGCATTGCAATGGACATGCCCTGCAGAAAGGAGAAGAATGGCAGGCAAGCAGGCCCCTTCAGAGGCCCTGCAGTCGAGAGGTCCAGAAGCAGACAACGCTGCCTCTCGTGTTTCGGCCAAAACGGCCATCACAGAAGAAGCAGACTGAAAAAGGTCCGAGGAAAAAAAGTATATATGCAGACGACGCAAAGCATCGGCCGAAATGTGACTATGACTATGAATGTTGGGCTGGGATGACGGCTCGCTGGCATTCTTCGATGGCTTGCCGGTGGAGGAGGTGAAGGCGCTGCTTCCGGACCTTTCGTCCGACTGGGGTGAAGAAGAATTCTCCTCCTTGTTCAGGGAGGCGAAGCGCCAGAGGAGGAAGCTCGACCTGGACGACCACAGCTTCTTCCAGTTCCAACACCTTCTCCACCGTGACCGCAAGCTGATTCGAGAAGCAGTTGGCGTCCGCGCCATTTGGAGAAGCACGTGACGGTGCCACCTTGACCTTGGTGAGGCGGACGCTGCCGAGGGTGTCATGGAAGACGCACCTGCAGAAGATGAACTACACGGCCACTACGGATGACCAACGTGAACAGGTCGAGGTGGCAGAACGGCGCAGATGGATCGGTGCCTTGGTGAAGCACCTGCAGGACGCTGGGTTCACCGATAGGTTGGCTTCGCTTGGTCAGGATCGAGTGCAATACCTTGCAACTCGGTTTGCCATGGGCCGCAGAGCGTCAACTTTGAGGCAGCGCGTTCGCTACTGCATTCGTGTACAAGAATATATGATGAGCATCTACTGTGATGCCTGGTTGAGTTGAGGTGGTCCTCTACATAGATCAGCGCCTGCAAGAGCCATGCGGCAGGTCGGTCCCTGGCAGCATCGCCAAGGCGGTCGCCTTCCGGCGGAAATCCCCGTGGCCAAGGGGATCACTCAATCGGTCGCAATCCAGCACTACCTCATGGAGACGGAGGCATGTGGGGCATGGAAGCCACATCAACGTGCAAAAGCACATCGGGTTCCGCTGGAGATGATCAGGGCTTGGGAGCGCGCGGTGATGGACCGAGGACTGGCGAAGTTCAAAAGGGCCCCCTGCGTTCTCACGATGCTGAGGGATTGCCGCCAGCCACGCTGGTCTTCGAAGAGGGCATCGGCTTGGTCGGGGACACCGCGAGGTCGAAAACGACCGGGCTTGGAAAGAAAGTGGAGGTGGTGCAGATGTACATCTCGGTGGACGCCTTCGTCTTTCACCCGAAGTGGTTGCGCACCGGTTTGGTTGTTTGAGGCCATGAACCAGGACATGAAGGCAGCGAACCGGGACTTCTTGATGTGCAAGCCCAGCTCGGACCTCCAGGGCTTCTCGGCGGGTATGCTCAGGTACGTGGACACCATGTCATTTAGCCGGGCGCTGAACACGGATCTGCCTTCGCAGAGGTTGGATGATGCTGGCAAGCCTCGTCCTTTGGTCACGCCCTCGTCCAGTGCTTTTTGGAGCGAGCGTTCGGAGAGGGTGACAGCCATGTCTTGGGCCCTAGCTGAGGTGCCGAAGGAGGTCGTTGGGGCCGCTGGAGTCCGACCACGGAGGAGGGCTATGCCACCACGTCGAAGAAGGTGGTGATGAAGGCGCAAACTTTGATCGGAGCGAAGCTGAGGGACGCGTACGGCATCCAGGATCTCATGGACGGTCGCTACTGTTGAACCAGTATTCACTTTGGCTCCAGGACATGTTCAAGGTGCCGGTCACTGAGGCGCACTTCGATTGCCTACCGCTGGCGCCGCCCACTTGGGGCGGAGTATGGGACTTCGAAGGCAACTTGTCAGCCATGGTCCCGGATCGTGAGATCGACTTGAACCAAGGTTCACTGAGGGGGGCGTCTTCGGAGACCGTCGTCCCGTCGCCGAGGTCTTTGGTCCAGAAGGAAAGTGGAGGACTGGGGCCCGTCGTGTTGTGGTGACAGGGCTGACAGACAACCTGTCCAACTCCTACCTTCTGGACAAGTTCTTGTCCACCAAGTTTCCGGTCTCCTTGGTCCTCATGGAGTTGGCAAAGCAGATGGAGTGATACGAGATTGACTTGGACCTCACCTGGATTCCTCGTGAACAAAACGAGCCCTCAGATGACTTGAGCAAAGGCCGGTACGACAAATTCGACTTGGCTAACCGAGTCGCTGTCGAGTTCGAGAACCGGGACTTCCTGATCCTCCATGGAAGATGTTTGAGGCAGCGAAGGAGATGGACCATTGAGATCGTGGAGAAGACGACTTCTAAGCCGGCAAGCTCTAGGACACCTCCTGACCAAAGGCTCCGACGTCACACTTCGAAAAGGGACGTAGTGAAGTCACATGAAGACGACGCAAAGCATCGACCGAAATGTGACTATGAACGTAGTCGGGCTCGAGTTTGGCCCACCCACCACAGCCCCGAAACGGGGAACCGGTGGATGAGAGGAGCTGGTCACACTTCGAAAAGGGGCGTAGTGAAGTCACAGATTATATATATATATACACACACACACACACCAAGTTCTTTTTGCTGTTGTATTGCGTGTATTCTTTGTTAATACTAATTGTTTGGAGTTTGGTTGCGAACACGATCATAGTTCGTCTAGTCAGCCTCTTTCCAGGTGAGTTTGGCTTTTGTGGTGAGCGATCATGTTGAACCCAGCGGCGAAATGTATACTTGCTGATTTGTTTCAGGAGGCTTTTATTTTTCAGGTTTTCAGGGAACCTCAAAACTTAGGTTTGTTGTCAATATCACGCTTGCAAACCCAACTTGCCATTTCGAAGTAACACCAAGCATAACTTAACCTCTCGCGCACACACACACAATCACTTTCAGTAACCTGTCCAAAGATCCGCTGCCTTTCCCAACCTTTGACTGATTCTGGAAAATGTACTTGGCAATCATTTTTTTGGCACAGCTACCATCTATATAGTACAACCTTTCTCTTTTGACGCCGTTGGCAGCCAGATGCGCGAAGGGGTCAGTGAAGATTTCAAATCAAGATCTGATTGGATTGAGAATCATTGGAGATGCTTTCCCAGAACTCTCCGCTAGCCTTCTGATCGTCAAAAAGTATTGAAAATATCAAGAAACAGGTCGAACCCATCAGGCTTTTGTTGTGTTTGCGCGATGTTCCCAAGGCTGGGCAAGTGGTGCGGGCAAGCCTAAGCGGAAGGCGCGCTGGTGAGCTCAACAACAAAAGGACGGGCTGAACGGCGTAAACCTTTCAGAGAAACTGCTCCAAATGCATTCGTTGCCAGGCTTTGGAATCTCCTTCTCTTCATCTCTTGCTCTCATTTCTCTCCTTTCTCTTCTTTCTGCCTTTCTCTGTCTATCTTTCTTTCTTTCTTTTGCTATCTTTGTCTGTGTTTTGTCTCGGTCCCGGTGTTCCTTTCTTGGAGCTTTCTTCCGTGCCTATACATTTGTGTTTGGATGCAGGAAGTCACCGCAAGACCGCAAGCTACTACTTGCAAGGCTTAGCCAGATGCAAGCAGGGCTGAAGTGCCGATGAACAAAGTGGCCCGCAAAATCATTAAAGATGAACTGACCAGTCCGTTTGCTCCTCAGGACGTCCCTCTGGTGAAAGTATGCCAATCAGAGCCTCTTTGTACCTCTGACCTTGTATGTAATGAAGTGCAATTCCAATTAATGTGATACTAACCAGTACAGTGTCGCTGCATGCCATGTCCTATGGTTTTTGTAGCCCAAATTGGTGTTTGGCAGGTATTTCCCCCAAACAGTGTGGACACTTAGGGTTTCTTACGGTGATAGCTAAGGCTGGGTTTGATTCAGGGTGCTCGCGCCCGCGCCGGACCAATTCGCTGCTATTTACGGCAAGTTCTTTGTAGATCTCGAGGCGCAGGCAGGCGCAGCTTTGTTAACATGGCTGCGCAGACTTCGTGGCAGGTGCAGCATTTTGTGGACATCGAAGTGGCGCTCAAATGCGTGCTGACGCATAGACATGTGTTTCTATATAAACAGATAAATAATGAATGAATATATGTATATATATATAGATATAAATGTATATGCGTGTTTGTGAAACCCTGGGAGTCATAGGGCTTCCGTTGAAGTTTTGGGCCTTTGTTTTTTAAAGCAGGGGGCAAGGCCTCCAGCGATGAACCTTGTCCAACGAAGCTAAATCGCTGGAGGGGAAGCGGATGGAGACGCCCATTCATGTACCTGCTATGGTTGTGAGCAACGTAACAGTCCTCCACTCGTAGAGGTTCCAGGCTGTTGCAGGATGATCCAGGTCTGCAGATGTGCACTCGGCGACTCGCTCGATTCGCCCTTTTGGCACTTGGAGACGCTGCTTTTCGAGAAGTTGTTGAAAAGTCGGGTCTTTAGGACTTGCGCCTATTCCTGGAACTCTTAGGCGTTCACGCCCAGGTGGGCGTGTGGCATGCGGCATTCAGTTCCGTATGTAGCCGAGGAGTGTCCCCTGTGGCCCCGTCAAACGGGGGTTTGTCTAACGTACCCACTGCCCGGGTACAGAGCAGTCCGCAGCGGACGGAGTAGGCTTGCGCCAAAGTTATTTGCCGAGATTTGATGAACAATTGAGTACAAGTAGGCAGCCTTCGGGCATGCCATGAGGTGAACACAGCGGTCTGAGCCGCCAGCCATTTTGGCACGGCGTATGTGGCCGTAGCGGCCGTAGAACTCTTAAGACCCATTGGGGTTTGCAACGACCTTCAATGCACACACAGCGCGCGCACTCCAAACCAGGCAGGTCTTCCTAGGTCGCTTTAATGAGGTCTGGCGTCATCGCTTTCCGGCCCTTCCCTTTGGTTTCCCTTTTCATCCTTTCCCCTTCGCACACAGTCTCTTTCCTTCCTTTGTTTCATGTCTTTCTGTCTTCATGTCTGTCTTTTGCGCGCGCATTGGTCCAGCCCTTAGTGTGTACACGCGCGCTCACACTTTAAACCCAGGTCCCAGGTCACCCAGGTTGTTACAAGGAGGTTGGGTTCACTTGGTTCCGCTTCATTGCAACCGCGTACATCTGCTCTGTGTTTTCCTCCTTTCACGCCGTCGTTCGTTTGTCTTTTTTGCGCGCGCGCATGCGCGCTAGTCGTAACCGTAGTTTTTCGCCTCCCAAATCGGGAGGCGTGTGTGTGAAACCCTTGGAGTCATAGGGCTTCCGTTGAAGTTTTTGACTTTTTTTAAAATGTACGGGGCAAGGCCTCCAGCGATGAACCTTGTCCAACGAAGCTAAATCGCTGGCGTTATGACAGTCCTCCACTTGTAGAGGTTCCAGGCTGTTGCAGGATGACCCAGGTTTGCAGATGTGCACTCGGCGACTCGCTCGATTCGCTCTTTTGGCACTTGGAGACGCCGCTTCTTGAGAAGTTTTTGAAAAGTTGGGTCTTTAGGACTTACACCTATTCCTGGAACTCTTAGGCGTTCATACCTAGGTGGGCTTGTGGCATGCGGCATTCAGTTCCGTATGCAATATCTTGAGTGTGTGTGTGTGTGTGTGTGTTATGTGTGCTCCGGTGTGTGTTCTCAACGGTATGCCGCTCTCATATGTTGGTTCTCGCAGGTGTGTTCTTCTATCACGCATGTGTGTGTGCTCCCATGTTTTTGCTCACGTACTTGTGCTCACTCACACCGGTGCTCTATATAATGTGCACTCTCAGATGTGTGCTCTCATGAGTTTGTTGTTATATGTTTGTTCTCACACGCGTGCTGTCTTAGCACATGATTCCAAGTGCGTCCTCTCATATGGGTGGGCACTCATACATGTGCTCTCATATGTGTGTTTTCGTGTGCGTGAGCTCACATGTGTGTTTTCGTGTGCGTGAGCTCACATATGACATATGTGTGCTTTCGTTGTGTGCTCTCTCATGTGTGTTCTCATGTGTTTTTGATCACACATGTGTGCTCGTGTGTGCTCACATGTGTGCTCTCAAGTGTTTGCTGACATATGTGCCCTTGTTTGTTTTCATGTGTGTGCTCTCGTACATGTGTTCTCACACATGTGTTCTCCTTTATGCGTGCTCACGCATGTGCACTCTCATGTGTTTGTTCGCATATGTGTCCTTGTTTGCTTTCATGTGTGTGCTCTCATATGAATGTGTGTTTTCACAAACGCGTTCTGCTTTATTTGAGCGTTCACGTGTAGTCTCTCATATGTTTGCTCTCATGTGTTTGCTCTCATGTATGTGTTCTTCAGTGCAGAGGTTCTCTTATTCATCCGTGTTTTAAACTTTGTTCAACTTAACTGGTTGGGGTGTTTTACCGGGATAATTTGGAAGGACTGACACTGCCCCAGCCCTGGCGTGCGAGGATACTGCAGAACCCCTACAACGGTTGAGGTTGGTGAGTGTGCCAAAGGTCCCTTAAAATGGTGAATGGCCGAATGGCCAAACAACGTCAGGCACGCCTAGGCGTAGCTCTGGTGTGGTGCAAAGCTCTTGATGCGCAGCAACTGCTGTGGCATCGGGTCAGAACCCTTTGCACCAAGGCTTAGTGCTTACCCCTTGCGCATCGCAATGTCCATATCTTTTTCGTTCCTGCACAGATATCTTTCCAAATGCACCTCAAAAAGTATTCGTTGGGAGCTTGAGGCCCGATTGTTCGATCGATAAAACCACTGATTGATAGTTTTCATACTTTACTTTTTCTACACCAAAAACATGTCACAGACAGTGGCCGGCGCCAGGTGCTGCGTTGTACAAAGTGAGGCTAGCCTTGAAAGGATTGGACAATCAACGATGGTCCAACAACACGCGGGGTTGGCTGACTCAAAAGGGCTGAGCATCAGCGCCCAAGCTGGAGAACTCGTTGACATTGCAATCAGGAGGACCAGGAAGTTGGAGCGGGAAGTTGGAGCGAATGCAGTTCATTTTTGTTGGATTCGTTTGAGTTGGCTGGGATCATTAAAATGGACGCACTCACCTGAAATATTGTATGTGCGACGTGCTTTCTTGGCTTCCAGTGAACTTATGGTAACTCACACAGCAAAGTCAAACCTCGGCTCGGCGAGCTGGTCCAAAAGCGCCTCCACATTGGAAGTGGGTGTCATCAAGTGTCATGTACTTTTCCTATTCCGAATCCCAGGGTTATTCCAGGAGACTCGTTTCTTCAAACCCTCATCACCCGCACACCAGCAGCTCTTGCTTCTTCAGCTTAGGACATTCGGCTGATGCCACCCTAATAAAGTAGTTGCTTCATGACTTCACAACCCAATTTCCACAACCAATGGAGAGGGCACTAAACCCCCTTGCTGTGCGGAAAGGCCCAGACCGGACGACTCAGACCGGTTCCCAAAACGGTGAGTTCTTCGCATTTTCGCGACCCGGTGGGATGGGGCGCCATGAGCGGAAAGCGTGTGTGGAAGCAAGAGTTCTTGGCGCACCACGGCCGGAAGCTGAAAGTGAGATTTAGACAAGCCGGACATGAGGAAGTCTGGCTTTTCACCGACTTGTCCTATTTTGCCAGGATGTGGAGACCACGTACTTTACTAACAGCAGTTGGTGCTCGCGAGCCTTTTTGTTGTTTGGTCAAGAGTCAAGAACAACAGCATGACCAGTGATTTTGGCTTTGGGATTTGTGTACACCAATCTACAGTATAATAGAAACTCCTATAGACCCTTAGGCCACCCATGGATGATGAAGAACTCGCCCAAATCGGCCGCGCGCCGCCAGTGTCCAGCAAGGTCGTGTCCAGTGCGCGCGCCTTGGGGAGAAGTCTGGCCAGGCTTGGAGGGTTCGGATCGTTCTCGAAAGAATGAGGAATTGAGGTCGATTCTCTCTTTTTCTTGTCCATGCGTGTCATGGAGCTTCGATGCAAAATTCACACAGACACTTCGACATTGGTTTTCAGTTAATTCAATTTCCAGGAAAAATGGTGATGGAACCGAAAGGTGAGATGGTCGGAGCACTTGAAGGTGTTTGAAAAATGTTTCACTCACAACTGCAGTAACATGCTGCAAAATGCGCGGCTGC